CCCATTTTATCCCCGGGACAATGACCTTCATTGATGAGTGGGGATTTGAACACTGGCCTCCCAGACCCTAGTCCAACATTATAATCACTACACCACCCTTGCCCCCTGTCTTAAGCCTCAAGAAAAGAATGGCTGACTATTCAACTTCCACACTACCACCCAGCCAAGAGAAGCGAAGGAGGTCAATCTCTGATTCCCAAATGGTTCTCTTTTCAGAAACATCTCCTTAAAAAACATAGGATCACTAACAATCCTATCAGAGCCATCACGATAATCTCCAGAAATCTTGTTTCCTTTCGTTAACGCTCTCCTGATCAAGCCTCAATTTTATAACTAATTAGCCCAAGCTCCAAAGGATCCCTTAGATGTCATCTTCAATATCCCAAAACATACACACACACACACACACACACAAAATTTACATTGCCTTGTTACTTGGAAGGCTGTGACATTTCCATTCCCTAAACTACGTATTGATCCCAATGATATACCATATTGTCTGACTGCAATGACAAAGCAGAATGTTTAAGAAGCCACAGCATCAACATAAGGTGACAGAGAGTTCCTGTTCAGGCCAGACTTTGAGAGGGGGGTGAACATTGTGCAGAGGGTGGGGTTGTAATAAACATTCCCCTTTAAACCACTAGATCTCGTAGATAAACTGGACTCTGAACATCCAGATCTTTTGGATGATAAGGCCTACCAGAAGATGTGAAAGAATTTCCCTGCTTTGTGCTGGACTCTTCAAATAACACACACACTATTTTAATTAATCACACTATGTAGTGAACACCTGCATTCATCAGAAGATCACTGGAGGAGGAGGGCCTAGGAAAAACCTCAGCAATAATTACCCCCCCCCAAAAAAAAAACTACCTAAGGATTCTACAGTGGTACCTCTGGTTACAAACGCTTTTGGCTACAAACACTTCAGGTTACAAGCTCTGCTAACCCGGAAGTAGCTGCTCCTGGTTATGAACTTTGCCCCAGGATGTAAACAAAAATCACACGTCAGAGGTGCTAATGGGAGACCCCATTAGTGAAAGCGCACCTCAGGATAAGAATGGTTTCAGCTTAAGAACGGACCCCCGGAATGAATTACCGTATTTTTTGCTCTATAAGATGCACTTTTTCCCTCCTAAAAAGTAAGGGGAAATGTGTGTGTGCCTTATGGAGTGAATGCAGGCTGCACAGCAATCCCTCTTGCTGTTCTGGCTTCAGGGATAGCCACGCAAAGCCTCTTCAACAACATTTGATTCAGAATATTTTTTTTCTTGTTTTCCTCCTCTAAAAACTAGGTGCGTCTTATGGTCGGGTGCGTCTTACAGAGTGAAAAATACGGTAAGTTCGTAACCAGAGGTACCACTGTACTTGCTGATGCCAGGCCAATTGCTAACTCAGTGCTTAATTACCCAGTAGGCAGACCACGTATGCGCTTAGGGAACTAGCAATGCAGAAGAACCAAAAAGAAAAAAAAGTTTAAAAAAAGAATTTGACATTTGATATATATGTTTTTATGCCATCAAAGTAGTCATCATGGGAAAAATCAGAACTTTGTTAGACTTCCTTAAGTTCCACCACACACTCTTCCCTCCCTTTGTTCTCTTTTTATTACTTATCCGCACCTTAGCCAGGAGGCATCCTACTAACATAGATCAAAATAATGTGACGAAATCAGATTCTGTCATGTGTTGCAATAAATCTTTGTTTCATTTCGTTTATAAGATTTTATTTTACAGTTTAGTGTTGCTTTATTTTGAATTGCATTTGGGAGGCACCATATTCCCCCCCCCCCCGTGCTTAGGGCCTCTAAAAGTCTTAATCCAACCCTGCACTTGCCTTCTCCCCCTCCCTAAAGTTCCCCTCCAGCATCCTTCTTGACCCCACAGTCCTTTTCCGTTCTCTTTCCCCCTCCTGTCTGTCATCCCCTCTATTGCTCCTGACTCTCCTTCACATGGAATGTATTGCAGATGGCTCTGAATGCCAAGAGATAGCCCCTCTTGTTTCCTCTGATGTGGTAATGGCAGAGGTGGATTTAGGGCTATGCAAGTGGTGCACAAGCACCAGGCGCTGAGCCAAAGGGGCAGCATCTCAAAGCCTAGTAAGCGAGGCACTGGGCTTTGGGAAGGAGGCATGAGGCTCCGATAGGGTCCCACAGTCCTCATGCTAACCTCCCAAAGCCTAGTTAGCACTTTCTCAGCAGTGGGAAGTGGGTAGGGGGGCTCTAGGACCCTGGCAGAGCCTCGTGCCTCCTTCCCAAAGTCTGGCACCTCACTTAGCGGCTTCCCAAAGCTGGGTGCCTCTTTACCCACCTTTGGGAATGCAGTGCGGGGACTGGATTGGTGCCAAATTTTGGCCTTGCACAGGGCACCATAGTACCCACGTCCACCATCGACAATGGCCTCTTGCTTCCTCACAACCATTTTAGAGAGTAGCATTTCTGTCCTCTTGATGTTATGCTCTAAAGGAGAGGTGTAGAAGCTGCAGTGCTGGAGCCCACCAAAATCTGGAAAGCCATAGGTTACCCTTTCTGTAAAATACCATGGGCATTGATAGTGCTGCATAAATATGTAATAACCATTTCTTAGGAGGGGGGGTGGCTTTTTCTTGTCTTGAACATTTGTGCAGGAGTTGGAAGTTTAACAACAGAAGCCTTTTCCTTCATTGAACATTCCGGCTGGTTGAATGTCTAAACACACCGGTTGAATGTCTGGTCACAATGAAGCTGCTCAGACAAAAGGTGTCCCGCCCTAGATTCCAGAGTTCTGAGTTGCCCTTTGACACCATCATTCAGCAAATGAAGGGGGATGCGTTTAATGCTGCTGGAAAAGGGAGGCCTCAAAAAGAAATGACAGTGGGCACCCATTTGATCCTGCAGGCAATACAATGAAAGACAGAAAGCAAAGAAAGGATTCCGTCTCACACGTTTCCAAGCTGCCAGAAATCCAAAGGCTTGCGCAGAAAGATCCGAGAGGGGAAAGATATATGTTTGAAAGAACTCATGACTCGCTCCTCCCTTAAGCAGGCTTTGATTACTAAGGACATTTGCCTGAATGGTGTGCGACTCCCCCCTCCCCCCTCCTTTACACAGTGACCTTTAAAACTACCGGCTAAGCTATTTGCACTGCTTAGCCTAGAAGCTTCACAAGGCGGCAGAGAAAGATGGAGCATTAAAGTTAATGGCTAAATCACCGCATGTCACTCTGGAGTGCAACCTCCCCCCACATAGATGGAAAGCAGCAGTAGTCAAAAAATAAAATAAAAAGTCTCCCAGTGAGAGCCTACATCTGAGACCGTGTTCAGCACCGAAAACCCAGTTTTCTCTGTCGTTTCTTCGACATCTGCTGGAATAAGGAGGTAGTGATTGCTTAACCACGTAAAAATAAGCACCTTTTGTTCCTCCTAACAAAGCTTCTTTGCCTATTATCACCATCCTAATGACCACCACCACCATTTTGTTTAAGGGATGTAACTTAACAGCAAAATGACTTTTGTCATCTATGGGCTCATCCACACTTGCCTTTTGCCCCACGCTTTTTAGGCATAGGTCCCACAACTGCAGTCCACAGCAGCCATTCCCCTAGGGCATAGGAGGAGGACAGAGATGGGACTAAACTAAGAATCTCTCCATCTGCTCCATGGGAAGAGTAGCTACCTTTTGGCTCATCCTCTCCTTGAAAAAAATCTGTTCCAGCTGGTCTTTATGAAAACTAACTAAGAAATAGCTCCTGGGTCTTTTTCTTCTCCTCCCTCCCTCCCTCCCAGTCCATTCCCCCTTTTTGTCAGGCCTGAGGGCAGGGACTAGGTTTGGAAGGATCTGTCACTTTCAGTTACCCTCCTTTCTCATTTGATCAAGCTTAATTCAGTTCTCCAGATTTATGTGATTTAAAACACACACACACACACACCCAAATTCATCAGCAGTATAGTGCAAATTTCTCCAAATAAACACAACATCATCATCATCATCGCTTTTCATTTTTGTATGCTACTTCCACTAACAAAACTGATTTTTATGCACACCTCACCCCAATATATGCACTGTTGTAATCATTATTTTATTGGAGAACTGTGTCACAGAATCCAGATGAGTGCAAATTTCAAAGGCTGGCTATGTTTGCGTCCTCACATTGTTTTGGAAATGCAGATTTGATAGAGTTGCCTTTAAATGTGAACTGGATCAAATTTCTCACCCCACCGCTAGCTAGGAATGACTTTTTTTCCTAAGGTGATATGCAGACTGCTGGCAGTAGGTGGGGATGGGTCTTTTATTTCTCTTTTTGAGCAGGCTCAAAATGCTTTCATTAATAAATGAATATTCTACCTGCCGAACTGCAACCAGCCTTGCCAAGTACACCACCTCCTTTGTATGTTCCATCCATGCTACTTGCTGTGTGATGTAGCCACATGTGTGGACAACTGCTAATACAAAGAAGCATGGAAATTTTTTGAATATTTTTTTCTCATTTATGCTAAAATGCCTTTTCATTTAAGCACCATTGCATGAATATTTAATTTGCCTTTTAATGCATTTTAGCAGAAGATTAAAAGCAGATTCTTTAAAACAAATAATAATAATAATAATATTAATAATAATAATAATAATATTGCTAAAGTAGTATTGACCACTGCCTAGCACAAGAAAAGTGCTAAAGCAAAGAGACCTGGTAGTAAAGCAGCTTAACAGACTTAGGGGAAAATAGGTATTTTTGGTAATGCTTTAGGAACATTACAAAACTAGTTAACCGTCATGTCCAACTTTATGCTGCTTCCAACCTGCTGTAAAATTCCAAGTGTTTTTGTATGCTGTTTATCTTTGATTTATTTTTGTATTAATCAATAAATTTGAGAGGGGTGCACTTGAATTTATATCTCACCTTTCCTCCAAGAAGCTCAAGGTAACGTACATAGTTCTCTTCCTCATTTTATTCTCACAACAACCATGTGAGAAAAGTTAAGCTGAGAGGAGTGACTGGCCCAAGGTTACCAAATGAGTTTAATGGCTAGGCAGGGATTTGAACTCAGGACTCCCAGGTCCTAGCCTGATACGCTAGCCACTACACCACCCTGGCACTGATCACAGCAAGATAACAAAAGCAGACTATTTGCCTTGTATGTTTATAATTAGTGATGAGGTATATATATAATGTATAACCTACATTATGGCATTTTCATGGAATGCATCTTAGTATAGCATTCTTCAACATGGTAGCTTCCATATGTTTTTTACTCCAGCTCCCATCATCCCTACCCATTGGTCTTGTCAAATGTGTCCGATGGCGGTTACAGACCAACAATGTCCAGAAAGCACTAAGTTCGTTATCCTGGCCTACATCGCAATTGGCTTCTCTACTCTCCAGCTTGCTTCAAAACATAAACTCTGAAGTGTTTGGTAGTGAACCACTATCTAGACCATGTTCTGAGCCTCATCAAAAGCCTTGCTAGAATTCAAAGTTTCAGGTCTATTTGCCCTTCTTTTCACTTTTCAGTATACACAGAAACACACACACACACTCCCCCCAGCAAACAGTTTCTTTACAGCGGAAATCAGTGCAGCCTCCAACTATCTATTATTCATGTCAGAAAACAAATTCTCTTCCCTCCCAGATCCCCAAATACAAAGTCTTAGTCTCCATTGTGCAGCTTAAGACAAATGGAGGACTCCTTCACTCTCCCCTAATAAGACTCTAATAAAACAGCTCTATAAAAAAGGGCACACATTTTAGTATCTCCAGAGAATGACCCTTATTCCAGGAGTCAGCAATAATTCTCCCACAACCTGAAACATCAGCGGCCTTCTTACAGAATGCTGTGAACTGAAAGAAAGAAGGGTCTTGAGGTAATTTGTTGGGCCTCTTTGGCCTACAGTTGAAAGCCCATTGGATGCCTCCCCGCCAAAACAAAAAACGGGTAAGGGAATGAATGCAAAGGGCAGGGAGGAGAAATGAGGTCATGTTTATTATTTTCCTCACTTCTACAGAATGTTCCGGCACTTTTACAAATTCTCTTTGAGGCTGGATAGGATGACAGACAGCAGTTTGCCTGAGGCCACAAAGCAGCACCTCAGCCTTCAACGGACAACATTCTCACTAGTTCCTGTAGCTATTTATTTATTTAAAATATTATTGCATTGCCTTTCAACCCCAGGGTCCAGAGGGTGGATTAAAACTCATCGTTTAAAAGAACAATACTGTACAACAACCACAAACAATCCCAAAAGAAAAGGAAATAAAAGCACCCACCCTCAAAGAAAAACCAGGCTGCGTACGCACCACACATTGAAAGCACATGCATTCCCACAAAGAATCATGGGAACTGTAGTTTGCTAAGGGTTCTGGGAATTGTGGCTCTGTAAACTACAGTTTGCACGATTCTTTGGGGGGCGGGAAGTCACATGCTTTCAACATATGGTGTGTATGCAGCTGCAGCACAGCCAAAATCTGTTGTTGTTGTTCTTTTTTAAAACACACACACGCATACAAACAAACTCAGAATCCAGGGGCGTGCAGCGTGTTTAGATGATCAAAGGTCACTAAGGGAGTGTTTAGACAAACCCATACATAATGTGGGTGCCGGTGACTCCACAAGTGCTGGGCAATGAATGAGAGCGGTCACAAGTCCACACAGTTACTCACACATCTGGTCAGTAACTGAAAGTGTGCATGTTCAGCTCTTACACACTGACAGCCAGTGTGGTGTAGTGGTTAAGAGCGGTAGTCTTGTAATCTGGTGAACCGGGTTCACGTCTCCGCTCCTCCACATGCAGCTGCTGGGTGACCTTGGGCCAGTCGCACTTCTCTGAAGTCTCTCAGCCTCACTCACCTCACAGAGTGTTTGTTGTGGGGGAGGAAGGGAAAGGAGAATGTTAGCCGCTCTGAGACTCCTTCGGGTAGTGATAAAGCGGGATATCAAATCCAAACTCTTCTTCTTCTTCTTTCACATGCCACCCAAACACTCCAAACAGGTTAAAAACCAGCCAGTTAAAAACAGGCAAGGAGGGTGCAATGCACGTCCAGTGAGGAATGTGGCTTTCAGAGAAGGGTGTGGCTGGGGAGAGTCCTGAGGGCCAGAGAGAGAGGCCTGTTGAGCGCCATTAGGCCATGGGGTCTGAGATTCTCTGTAATGACAAAAAAGTGCAAGAATTGCTATTGAACGACTTTCCATTTAATTCCATGCACAAACCGTGGCCACTGAAGTGAAACTGGAGGGTCAGTCTTTTGTCTGAACCGATTTTGACCTGACTCCTTTGCTCTCACCACAGTTCAGTCTAATTCTTGTGCCAGAATGGGAATTACCCTTCTTGCACGAAGCAGTAATATGTTCCCCAAATGCACCTCTAACACACACAACTCTCTGTCTCTCTCTTTTCCCTGTTGGGTCTCTCCCTGTTCTGATCAAAAGTAATAAGCCATCAGGGTTGTCTTAGACTCGGGGATGCCCACCTGCTGCCTTCAGAGAGGCCAGACGTGTGTGCAGCACACTTGAAGGGGAAGAGAAGACTCTTTGCAAAATAAGACATGGACCTCAATTAAGTACAAAAAGAATCAAATGCAGGGGGAGGGGGAGAGGAAGGGGAAGTGGGGAGGGGGAGCATTGCCAGTATATGATACAGAAACAAAGAAGGATTACCTGTCTCGAGGAAGTTTATTTATTTGCATTTATTAAATTTCTATACTGCCCTTCATCTGAGGATTACAAGGTAGTTTACAATATAAAAACACAAAAATGTATAGCAATTTTAAAAGGCAACCCCCCCCCCCCCCCCAGTTTACAAGGCCACCAATTGCTTTGTCAGTCAAAGATCTGGGAGAAGAGGAATGTCTTTACCTGGCAATTAATATATGCAACGAAGGCATGTCCGACAAGCCTCCCTGGGGAGCAGTTCCCCGCCTCTGCAAAGTGGAGAAATTCATGAGAGCCTTAATCTCAACAGGAAGTGATCTGACCGTGACAAGGGCTGATATCAATATCAATACCAGCCTGGACCCTGCGATCATCATCTGAGGCCCTTTCTCATGTGTCTCCTTCCAGAGAGGTCAGGAAGGCGGCAACACAAGAACAGGCCTTTTTGGTGGTGGCTCCCCATGTGTGGAATGCTCTTCCCCAGAGTGGATCGCCTGGCACCATCATTACATATCTTTAAAAGGTAAAAGGACCCCTGACCATTAGGTCCAGTCATGGCCGACTCTGGGGTTGCAGCGCTCATCTCGCTTTATTGGCCAAGGTAGCCGGCTTACAGCTTCCGGGTCATGTGGCCAGCATGACTAAGCCGCTTCTGGCGAACCAGAGCAGCGCACGGAAATGCCGTTTACCTTCCTGCTGGAGTGGTACCTATTTATCTACTTGCACTTTGATGTGCTTTCAAACTGCTAGGTTGGCAGGAGCAGGGACCGAGCAACGGGAGCTCACCCTGTCGCGGAGATTCGAACCACCAACCTTCTGATCGGCAAGTCCTAGGCTCTGTGGTTTAACCCACAGCGCCACCCGCGTCCCTACATATCTTTAGGCACCTGACAAAAAGCATTCCTCTTTACCTAGGCCTTTGGCCATTAAATAATCTATGGCCTGTTACAGCTGGTGTGGGAGGAGCTGTTATTATGATTATTTTATTATTTTGCTGTCTATTATCATGCTTCTTATTACCCAGAGTCATACTGGCATTCAGCAACAGCAGCCCCAGCCCCAAGGTCTGGCTGATAGGACAACCACAATTCCTCAGGTGGGAGGAGGGGCTGGCATGCAGCACAGTTACTTACCCACCCCCTTATCCACCCCACCCCACCTCCCACCCCATACCTCCCCCTCACCCTGAACCACTGTGATTGCCCCCCAGATTGCTCTCTTCCTCTCCTCTCAGACACATCTCCCCACACAAATCAAAAAGAGTTAAGACAAAATAATTTAAAACAGATAAAATACAAAGAGCTAAAAACATATTTTTAAAAAATCATCAAAAGGCCATTAAACACCAACAGAATTGAAACAATATAAAAAAACAAGTCTATTAAAGCACTGATAACAAGAATAAGAATAACATTGTTAAAACATTTTCCTTTAAAATCAGTCAGTTCTCCAAATAAAAGAGTCTTCACCTGCAGGCAGAAGGACAAAAAGGAGGGAGCCAGTCTAGTACAACATGAAAGGGATTTCCAAAGTCCGGGAGCAGCAACTGAGAAGGCCCTTTCTGGTGTCCCCACCAACTGTGCCTGTGAGAACACAAGGACTATGAGAAGGGCCTCCCAAGACCATTGAAGCCACAATGTAATTCTGCAATTCAATTTTTGGATTTTGAAGATCTCATAATTCAGGAAATGAATTTCAGAATCAGAACTCCATCTTGGAACTCTTTTGACTGACTAAATTAATAGAGCTAGTATAGAATTTACTCAATTCTGCTGCTGTGTCAGCTGTCATGTTCTGATTGCTGACGTATGCCAGCTGCCAGTTGCTGTCAAACAATGATAGCAGCTGTCAGATACTGTCACATTTTCACCACTATGTGTCAGAGACTCTCAAATACTGACTGGTACTGCATGTCAGTGATCAAACATTGTCAAAACCTCATAACTACTCATACTGACTGCCAGACACTCTCCAAATGCAAGACTCACAGGGCAAAAGGGGCAAGTGTCAAATGCCATTGTTAAAGATAAAATACTCACTGAATGTGTGCATATATTTGACAACTATTTGCCATTAAAAATAATAATCCACAAAGGACATTTGGGGCTTGTTGCTTTGATTCAGCTCAAGAGGTAGGTGACAAAGATAGTAATTTGCATGGATACCAGTTGCCATGAAGAAACATTGCAGCAGCTGGGTACGTTTAGCCTGGAGAAGATGAAGAGGTGATCTGATGACTCCTATGTTCAAATATTTTGAGGGCCATCCCATCAAATAGGGGCAGATACCCTTTTTTCCTCAGTTCATTAGTCACATTGCCTCATGGGCATACTTTCAGCAAGTGCACCCCAGAGATGCGCAAAGATTTTATTATTATTATTTTAAGTGGGCAGTTCAATGGGATTAGCTCTTCACTTTGTACAATAGGTTACATTCCAGCCATGCAGAA